ACTCAGCGCACTCAGCCAACTCAGCCAACCCAGCCAACCCAGGCAACTCAGCCAACTCAGCCAACCAGGCAAGCCAACCCAGCCAACCCAGCCCAACCCAGGCAACTCAGCCAACCCAGGCAACTCAGCCAACCCAGGCAACTCAGCCAACCCAACAAACCCAGCCAACGCAACTCAGCCAACAGCCACGCAGCCAACGCAGCCAGCCAACTCAGCCAACGCAGCGAACCCAGCCAACCCAGCCAACCCAGCCAACCCCCAGTACACGGTCAATTCTGTGACATGATTGGACAAGACGTGATAGAAGAACGATAGCGAATATATTTGGAGATACATTGGTTTCCTCTGCTTATTGGACAGCTCTGGGATTGATTGTAAATGGGGAACCAATCAGTAAGCAGCGTGCATATCTCCCTGGACCTCAGATTCACATGATTCCGGCTGGACACAATCTGGTGATAGGGGGGGATGATTTACTGATGAGAGGTGGCTGGTCACTGAAAGGCCATCTCCAGTGGAACATTCTATTCTATTCGATTCTATTCCAGTCATAAAATTTCACCGTGCGAATATTTCAGCATTTACTTGAAAATCATGAGCAATTCTTGCAATGTTTGTAAAAATGTCCATTTCTATTTGTTGCTTTTCATGTTTTTTTTCTTTATTGTGCAAAACCCAAATGATAGAAAGGTATGACACCAACATATATAAACACCTTCACCCCTCCAAGGTGTCACCGGGACCCCCCACTTCATGGTCTTTATTTATTTCTAGTATAATATTACAGGTACTGATAGAGTGCCCGTCTATTTAGGGTGCACTGTACATATATATTGTACATTCACATCAGTTCCCGCCCCCGAGGAGCGTACAGTCTAAAGTATTGTTAGGAATGGACTTGCCAGTAATGGTGGGACTCACCTGCCTTGTGGGCTGCAGTACCAGGGCTGGCCAGCGGGTGCTCTCAGCAATCAGAGACTCAACCCTGCAGCCAGCCAAACACCTGAAACTGCTTAGGCAGGTGTATTTAAGTGATGGCCAGACCTGCAGTCTTTGCCTTGGTGTGTGTGTTTTTCCTGGGCCCTGTATCTTGTAATCCTGCATTCTTGTTCCTGTTCCTGTTAGTACGTTTCCTTGTTGCCAATCTCTGCCTGTTCTGATTACGCTGACCCTCTCCTGCTCTGACCCCGGCTCGTTCCTGACCATCCCTCTGCCTGACCCTCTGTACCACGCTGCCCGCTACCTGCTGAACCTGGCTTGTGACCCCGACCATTCTCCGCTTGCTCCTCCTGTTCCTACCTGCCCGACTGATATTGACCCGGCCTGCCTGACGACGCTTGCATTGTATGTACTGTTATCTGTGGGTGGTTGGTTTGGTTTGTTTGCACTGTATTATGTTTAGTATTGCACTGCGTTTATGTTTGTATTGTTAGTGTTAATAAATTATATTGTTTATAACATATCTGAAGTCTGCGTTTCCCTGCGTCAGTCACACACCTCTGGTCATACCCGGGAGCCCTGACAGGTATCTTCCCGCCAAAAGTCCCGGATTATATTTTGGGGGTTCAAGGACATGTGACCACAAAGAAAGGACTAGATAAAAGAAACGTTAATGTGCCCCCCCCCCCACGATGGAATACCGATCCAGCAAGAGGGTATGGAGGAGGCACAAGCGCTATGCGTCTGAAGAGGGTCCCTGGCTGAAACTTGGGTGGAACGTTACAAAATGTTGTGAACGGAGGTAAAGTCCTTTAAAATGACTGCATTGGGGGGGAGAGAGAAACATCCCTGTCCCTTTAAGAATGCTAGACTGCAGATGAAAGGTTAAGAATGAAAAATATATCCAGTATGTATAATAGTATGTAATTAGACTGTATTATAATAATATACTGTCAATAAAAGAAAAAAAAATTATAAAAAAATATAAACGGTATATATGATGTAAAAGCATGTAAGTAGTGTATATTATAATAATATACTGCAAAGGAAAGGTTAGAAAAAAAAATATATCCAGTATGCAGGCCTTGAAATTTCCACTCTGTCAGAGCCTGGGATCGAACCTGGTCCTTCTGCAGTGGGAGGCAATGTCTCTTCTCACTGACCACCTGGAATGCTGGACAACGCCCTTGACAATTCTTGGACAATCCTACCTTGTGCCTTGATTTCTCTTGAACCTTGAACTCCTTGCTCCTCCCATGAACTTCTTTATAAAAGCCATGTCCATGCACTTCCTCCTTGCCAGATTTTGTGTGCCTTACCAGCCAATATCCCGCTTACTGGTCCTGCTGCCGGCTTCATCTACGTTACCGACCTTTGGCTTGCTACTGACTAGGATTCTGCCTCATCCTATCTACTACCATTGGTGACCAACCCTTGGCTTGTGACTGACTCCGCTTCTGTTTGATCCCTGAACTGTTTGATCCGCTTTTGGTTTCCAGCCTACTCATTCCCTGGTGGGGTGATCCTGAGATCTGCGACCTGGCATTCACACGCAGCCAAATCCATCTCCACCATTAGGAGCTCTGGGGAAGACCGGTGGATACTTAGACCCCGCACCTCAGGTGAGCCTGCGTCATTCCCAGGGTGGGCCGCTGGTGTACCTACCCTGCTGGTTTCAGGTAAGCCTTACAACTGCTGTAGCAACTGGTCTCTGAACCTGACCTTATATCGTGACACACTCGCCTGCTCGCATTTGGCGAGTGGAAATAATGTGGGGGCGAGTGTGTGCTGACACCAGGGGCGGACTGACCATTGGGGAACTCGGGCACCGCCCGAGGGCCCGGGGTCAGTAGGGGGCCCCATGAGATGTCCCTGGTACCTTTCATAGGCTTTTTTTTGGGTGTGATTTGATTGTGGGCAAGGACACGGGCCCCATGATCCCCCTATTGCCCGGGGGCCCTATGAGTTGTCAGTCCGCCCCTGGCTGACACTCTGCACAAGACAGGAGACAGGCAGCGGCACGCTGGGCTGTATATTATTCCTGTCAATATCCTACCTTTCCTCAGAGATTGTGTTGCTCCATGTGCTGGCATCCATCTTAAGTTCTTGCAAGGTGCGCTGTGCGTGCCAGCAGAGCCTGCAACGCCTGAGCGAACTGATCCAACAAGAGGTTCTGTTGATCAAGTCTGGCGAGTAACATAGGGAGCGAAGGCGTACCTGCACCGTCAGGATTCATGGCATTCGTGTAATAAATAAAAGAGTTATTCAGAAATTCACTTCCCATACTACAGGAAAAAGATACAATATAAAAAAAGTATTACGTGTTGGACTGCCTATGTAATGTATTTGTTGGAGTGCCCATGCAGGCTGCAGTATGGAGGACAAACCACTAGACCCCATACAAGAGATTAAGGGAGCATGTGGCTAATATTAAAAAAGGCAAAAAAGACCACTGCTTGTCCAGACATTTTAGAGATTTTCACAATTGTGATCCGAGATTACTCAGATTTTGTAGTATAGACAACATAGAATCACATTTCTAAATATGTAAGATTAATATGTGAAATATCCTAGAGGATAGGGCTGAACAATACAGATTTTGTGCAAAAATATTTAAAAAAATGAATTTTAAATCAAAGTAACTTCTGCTATTTAAATACATAATACATTTGTTTTACATTTTTATGTATCTTTAAGAGGTTATTAGTTATTATTGATTTTAAAGGTAACCTAGAGAAAGCATTCAGAAGAATAGGTTTGGCTATGTCCTCTTATGCCACTAGAGGGCAGGGTTGGAGAAATTTGAATGTAATCTGAGCACTTGACACCTAAATATTAATTTTCGTTTAATAAGTATAATAAGTATTTATTTGTAATAAAAATGTTATGTAGGGTTAATTGGTAATGATATGATTTTAGCAGGTCGCTTTTATTATATATATACTCGTTTAAATATCTATTTATTATCATGTCCGTCCCCCCACATAATTTTGTGTATTCAGATAATATAATAGAGCGTCTATGAATTCCAATTTATGTAGAGATAGAAAAATAGAGTGCCTACGGAGGTTAAGAGGTTGTATATGGAGTAATGACAGAGCAAGGAAGTAAACATGTGGACTGGTACTGTTTCCATAAATAAAAATGGCGGCGGAGGACTCGCAATTAAGAATCCGGACCGAGATATATTGCGGCCGCCTCTCCAACGGACACACCCCTTATGAGGAAGTCAAGGAAGTGACGAAACACGTCAAGGGACGTGATGTTGAACGTTGCCCGAGAAACCGGAAGTAGCAGAGCGGCCATTTTAACTGTGGGAATAGTGTTTGGCGTTCCTGGAGGATGCTGCATGGTGGAGTCATGGGATCTTTTATGCTGGTTATTGGCATTTTATGTAAGAATACTAAATAAAACATGGAGTTATTATATTTCTATACTACACTCTATGGATCTGCTTTCTCTTTATGGATGGATGTATTAGAGTACTAAGGAGGTGAAAGGAGTATTGGGGGATCAGAAGGTACCCACGAGGTCCCAGCAGATCCGTATCTGTATCCTGCCTTGGATATATATATAAAGGCTGGCTGATTACTCCATTGGGTAAGGGTATACAATTCATCCACATGAGATGTACACGGAGAGTTCACTAAGTACTATATATAGTAAGAATACACAGAGCGGGTCACTATCACGTGTTTCATGGGTTTTTACGTTTTATGCATTTTTGCATGAAATTTATAAAGATTTTTTTTGGCATAACCAATTTTGGGATTTGGATGAATTTATATTATGAGGCTAATACACTATTTGTCACACTCAGGGGTCAGGCTCGAAGACCAGTTGCTATAGTAGTGGAAAGGCTCACCTGAACCAGCAGGATAGGTACACAGGCAGGTCACCGTGGCGGAGGAGTGGGCTCACCCGAGGTGCGGAGTCTAAGTACCAACCGGTGTTCATCTGAGCTCCTGATGGTGGAGATGGATTTGGCTGCATTTTAGCACCAGGTCACAGTTCTCAGGATCACCCCACCAGGAGGTAAGTGGAGGTCCAGTAGTGTATAAGCAGGTAAGGATCAAACAGAAGCGTGGTCAGTAAACAAGCCAAGGTCGGTAATGAGCAGTCGCAGGTTGGGATCAGGCAGAAGCGCAATTGAGAACAAGCCAATGTCGTTAAAGAGCAGTCGCAGGTTGGGATCAGGCAGAAGCGTAGTTGAGAACAAGCCAAGGTCGGTAATGAGCAGTCGCAGGTTGGGATCAGGCAGAAGCGTAGTCGAGAACAAGCCAAGGTCGGTAATGAGCAGCTGCAGGTTGGGATCAGGCAGAAGCGTAGTCGAGAACAAGCCAAGGTCGGTAATGAAGGTGGGATCAGGTAATGAGTCAGTCGCAGGTTGGGATCAGGCAGAAGCGTAGTCGAGAACAAGGCCAAGGGCAGGTTGTAATGAGCAGTCGCAGGTTGGGATCAGGCAGAAGCGTAGTGAGAACAAGCCAAGGTCGGTAATGAGCAGCAGTCGCAGGTTGGGATCAGGCAGAAGCGTAGTCGAGAACAAGCCAAGGTCGGTAATGAGCAGCTGCAGGTTGGGATCAGGCAGAAGCGTAGTCGAGAACAAGCCAAGGTCGGTAATGAGCAGTCGCAGGTTGGGATCAGGCAGAAGCGTAGTCGAGAACAAGCCCAAGGTCGGTAAGGAGCAGTAGCAGGTTGGGATCAGGCAGAAGCGTAGTTGAGAACAAGCCAAGGTCGGTAATGAGCAGTCGCAGGTTGGGATCAGGCAGAAGCGTAGTCGAGAACAAGCCAAGGTCAGTAATGACAGTCGCAGGTTGGGATCAGGCAGAAGCGTAGTCGAGAACAAGGCAAGGTGAGCAGTCTGCAGGTTGTAATGAGCAGTCGCAGGTTGGGATCAGGCAGAAGCGTAGTCGAGAACAAGGCAAGGGCTGTAATGAGCAGTCGCAGGCAGAAGGTTCGAGAACAAGCCAAGGTTGGGCAGTCACAGGTTGGGATCAGGCAGAAGCGTAGTCGAGAACAAGCCAAGGTCAAGTTGGTAATGAGCAGCTGCAGGTTGGGATCAGGCAGAAGCGTAGTCGAGAACAAGCCAAGGTCGGTAATGAGCAGTCACAGGTTGGGATCAGGCAGAAGCGTAGTCGAGAACAAGCCAAGGTCAGTAATGAGCAGTGCAGGTTGGGATCAGGCAGAAGCGTAGTCGAGAACAAGCCAAGGTCAGTAATGAGCAGTTGCAGATTGGGATCAGGCAGAAGCGTAGTCGAGAACAAGCCAAGGGTCAATAATGAGTGATAGCAAAATATGAATAATAACAGAGAAGGCAAGGAGCAAAATACTGGCTGGAGAGCACAATAATTTGGCAAACAGGAAGTGCAGAGACATGGCTTATATCAGGAAGTTCGTGGGAGGAGCAAGGGGTTCAAGGTTCATGAAAAACAAGGTGAAGATAGGATCATCCAAATGGTTGTCAAGGGAGCTGTCCAGCATTCCAGGTGGCTCAGCAAGAAGAAACATTGCCTTTCACTGCAGAAGGCCCAGGTTTGGACCCAGGCTCTGACACTATTGAGCTTTCTTTCATTTTGAGGTACACGGCACTTATTGGATTATACGGCGAGTTTTTGGAAGAAAAGATTTATGGACTTTATTGTGGTTTTTGTTATAATTCTATGGACACTAAGAAGGGTTTTTGACAATTAATTCATTTATACTTTCAAGGGTGAAAGTGAGACTTTTCTTTAGTGATTTTTTCACAGGGTTTATAAGAATTTTTTTTGACACCGATTTACCTGTATCAAGGTATGCAGAATACCATCTCTGAAAGCACAGCATGTCCAACCTTGAAGTAGATGGGCTACAGCAGCAGAAGACCACACCGAGTGCCGGATACCCCGAGGTTAAATGTTGTCATTGGTGTACCCCATGGTTCAGTGTGATTAGTGGGGGACCCCAAGGTTCAGTGTGATTAGTGGGGTACCCCAAAATTCAGTGTCATTAGTGGTGTACCCCAGGGTTCAGTGTGATTAGTGGGGTACCCCAAGGTTCAGTGTTGTTAGTGGGGTACCCCCCCAAGGTGTACCCCAAGGTTCAGTGTCATTAGTGGGGGTACCCCAAGGTTCAGTTTCATTAGTGGTGTACCCCAAGGTTCAGTGTTATTAGTGGTGTACCCCAAAGTTCAGTGATAGTGGGGGACCCCAAAGTTTGGTGTCATTAGTGGTCTACCCCAAGGTTCAGTGTGATTAGCGGGGGACCCCAAGGTTCAGTGTCAGTGGTGTACCTCAAAGTTCAGTGTTGTTAGTGGGGTACCCCAAGGTTCAGTGTTGGGACCCTTACTCTGTAATCTATATATACAATATGGTGTCGGGGATCTCAGTTTGCAGATGACACCAAGCTGTGCCGGGGAATAAAGTCCTTACAGGATGTCTCCAACTTACAAGCCGACCTCAATGCTCTGTGTAATTGGGGGACTATGGGGCCAATGAGGTTTAATGTTTATAAATGTAAGATTCTGCATTTGGGGGCTAAGAATATGCATGCATCATACATACTAGGGGGGGTACAACTGGGGGGTCAATGGTGGAGAAGGATCTGGGAGGTCATGGGGGAAAAGGATCTGGGGGGGTCAATGGTGGAATGGTGAAGGATCTGGGGGGTCAATGGTGGAGAAGGATCTGGGAAGGTCAATGGTGGAGAAGGATCTGGGAAGGTCAATGGTGGAGAAGGATCTGGGGGGGGTCAATGGTGGAGAAGGATCTGGGGGGGGTCAATGGTGGCGGGCTAGACAGTGGCTGATCTAGCAACAGCCAATCAGAGGCTATCACGGCAGTCGGGCGATCGGGAACCAGTTCTCCACCCCCTGAACTAACAAAAAAGAAGAAAACGAATGCAGCCACCACCTAAGCACTGCAATGTATTACATTTTGTGGGGCATTTAGATACAATTTAATAGTAAAAAGACCAAGTCTGTGTGTGTGTGTTTGTGGAGATCCTCTATATGCCACCAAGACAGAAAGTGATGGAAAATCCCTTCCTAGAATGGGGAAAAAAGGGCGTTCTTCCAATGGGATTTTCAAACTTGTAGCGCCACTTGAAGCCGGGCAATGCGGGAAATAACGCCGCCGGTACACGGGGGATGGGAGCAGGTGTCCCGGAGCTAATTCAGAAGTGCTAATGATGAAAGAAGATGGACGCCGACTCAACCAGCCTAGTTAGAATAATGATGTTGGCCTTAGTTGCCGCTCCAGTCACACCCACTGACGCGTTTCAGAGTCATATCGGGCCCAGTTCCAGACTACCCCCAGCCTCCCAGAGGCCTTCTTCAAGATGTTTGCGCACAAGTTGTCCTTAGCATGTCGCTGGTGGCTGGAAGGGGAGAAGGCAACCTCCTCTGAGCAGATCATCCAGGCCATCCTGAAGGAACAGTTAGTTCCTTTTCAAGTGCCACCCCCTGAGCTACGACAGTGGGTGCGTGAACGGAAACCTGCCACCCTCGAAGAAGCTGAGGCCTTAGTGGATGAGGCTCTCCTAATTACCACAATGGAAGAAGCCTGCTGTTGTCAAGGCACCCCAAGCTGCCAGGATGCCGAGCCCTGTACCGGTGCCCTACACGCCTCTCCTTCGCTGGATTGGCCCCCAAACAGTGCCAGCTCCATGGCCCCTGCTCCCATTTCATCCAGCCACTTCGCAGCGGGCCCCCAGGTGTTGTTTTGGCTGTGGGCAGACTGGCCACTATCAGGTCAGCTGCCCCACCAAGATACAGAGTCTTGGACGTAGCTTGCCCAAGACAGTACACTATGTGGATCTGTACCATGCTCTCAAGGACTTACATCCACCACCGTCAGACTGGAGTCCCGCTCCCACTGACAAGGACATCCCTCAAGGAGTCTTTGGCCTACAGCCTGTGGGAGCCCCTACCCCGAGTCTCCAGGCATCCATCTCCTTCGATTCTTCCAATGAGAACACTTGTTCTGGTGATCCTAAAGCTAGGTTGATACCTGTGTGGGTTGGTTGCCGCTTTGGGATCCACATCTGTTCTCACAGTCGCAGCCACCCGCACAGTGAAGTGCAGGAGATGTGGGAAGGTGCTATTAATTCTAACTTGACCAATCAAAAGCTGTCTAACCTGTACTGTCATCCCTGCACTGAGAGGAGGGAAAGCCACGTGGACTTCAAAGCCCCAGCCTTGGGATTGGTGTGGGGAGGTTTCCCGCACTGCTCCTGTGGAAGCTCAGGCTATGACAAGCCCAAACAGGAGCAGTGAGGAAACCGCATGTGAATCGCACCACATTCCTGCTCAAATTACATTTTGTATTGACGCAAATCTCACCACAAAGTATCGGTCCTCGTACTCGCCAAACAAAGACGGTATGGCTGCATCCCAACCAAATGTCCATCGTTAGTGTAGAAGGTCGTCCTGTTCTTGTATTTCTTTGTACCGGGGCTCCAGGTGATCTATTGGAACACATTGGGGAAGGGGGATCACAGATCAAGGAATACAGGATGGGGGGCTGTCACAGAGCTAGTCCCCCCCCACCCCCCTGGTTGCTGCTTGCCACCCTCCCCCCAGCATCCCCTCACTCTGCTGCCGCCGGAAGTCTGCCCCCCCTGCTGAGGTGGCATCCTGCTCCCCTGGCCGAGCGCCAGCAAGTCTGCCCCCCCCTTCTGTGCCTGCATGTGGATTTGCCACATGCAGGCTCCACTCCTGTCGCCCTCCTCCTTCTCTCCATGGGCACAGCGCAATCCTGCTCTCCCGCACTCCGTGCCCGCCAGAGACAAAGGCCGCGCTCCCTGTGCGGTGCCCGTTGCCATGGTAACTCGACGCCAAGTCTCGGGTTATCACAGCAACAGAACATGCCATATAATGCTGGAGCGGGCCCCGGTCCCAGGTGTTCTTGGTTGCTCCCCCTGCCTACTGTGAGCAAGGTCTGTGCTGCGGCCAGACCCCACTGATCCCCACCCCCCATCCTCCTTTACTGCAAGCCCGCTACGGACCACCCAGCCCTCTCCCTCCTCCAGGCTCTCCACTGCTAGCTGGGGAGTGAGTAAACCCCACCGTGCCCGGATCTCTGCCCTGTGTGGACTGTAACCCTCTCTGCCCTGATCTGCATCCAGTGATTGGATTAACACCGCTGTGCCCAGATCTCTGCCCTGTATGGACTGTATGGAATCCCTTGCCCGTGGACTCCAACCCCCCTCCGCTCTGTCTTATTGAACCCTGTGGACTATCAGCCCCCCTGCTGTCCCATATTGCAACCCAGAGAACCCTACTATATCGCTGAGTCTTGTGTTGTTCTCTGGACTAACTGTTGTCTAAACCTCAAAAAAACTCCCCAATAAACGCCCGCCCGCACGTCGGGTTCCGGTCTCTGCGCTCCTAGTTCATCACAGGGCTATTTACTAAAACTCGAGAGTGCAAAATCTGGTGAAGCACATGGAAACCAATCAGCTTCCAGGTTTTATTGCCAAAGCTCATTGAACAAGCTGAAGCTAGAAGCTCATTGGCTACCGTGCACAGCTACCCAAGATCCTGAGTGCTCCAGTTTTAGTAAATTTCCCCCAAATGACTCTTTTATGGACAGTAACTTTTAACATTATTATTGTTCATACCAAACTGAAGTGTACAGTTGCAAGAAAAAGTAAAATGTGAACCCCTTGGGATTACGTGGAATTTTGCATGAATTGGGCATAAAATGTGGCTCTGAACGTCATCTAAGTCACAACAACAGAAGAACACAGTCTTGCTGAACATAATAACTAACAAAAACTTAGATGTTGCCATGGTTTGGAAATTGCACATAACATGTAAACATTCACAGTGTCAGGGAGGAAAAAGTATGTGAACCTTTGGACTTAATAACTGGTTGACCCTCCTTTGGCAAGCAATAACCTCAACCAACGTTTCCTGTAGTTGCAGATCAGACCTGCACAATGATCTGGAGTCATTTTGGACCACTCCTCTTCACAAAACTGTTTCAGTGTAGCAATATTCTTGGGATGTCTGGTGTGAATCGCTCTCTTAAGGTCATGCCACAGCATTTCAATGGGGTTGAGGTCAGGACTCTGACTGGGCCACTCCAGAAGGCGTATTCTGTGCTGTTGCAGCCATTGTTTTGTTGAATTACTTGTATGCTTTGGGTCATCATTGTCCTGTTGCATCACCCATCCTCTGCGGAGCTTCAGTTGGCGGACAGATGGTCGTACGTTTTCCTGCAAAATGTCTTGATAAACTCTGGAATTCATTTTCCCATCAATGACAACAATCCGTCCAGCCCTGAGGCAGCAAAGCAGCCCTAAACCATGATGCTCCCTCCGCCATGTTTCACAGTGGGGATGAGGTTTTGATGTTGGT